ATGGTATCTCATCAACTACATCACCCTCTTCAATCAGGGTAACAAAATTGTCTATCAAATTGAAACCAAAGTTACCAATAATTTATTTATTAAGACACAAATGATGTGTTATAAAAGAGCATGGCAAAACCCAATTGGTCTACTGTGTAATATCACAAAAACAAATAAAAAACAATACAGACAATAAGTATTTGCTGCACATTCGACACAGCTTCATCATAAAATGAGATATATAAATAAAAAGTAAGTAGAATTTATTTACACCGGGCTGTGCATTCAGTGACAAGTCTAGTACCCAGTGAGGTAATCGAATAATAAAAAACTACAAGTAAAAAAACCTAGACCTAGTTTTGTGGCTGTTTTTCCTGTACATAAGCTTACATTTTCGAGCAAATGATACACAATGCGAAATCCTGAGACAAAAATTTAACAGATTTAAAAAATATTTTATCATCTATTTAATAACATAACTTAGAGGTCTTGAGACTAGACTGGTTTGTTGCCTTTTCGAGTACTCAAGATACAGCGTGCAGCGAATAGTATTTTAAAGCTTTACAAAATATTTGGCTTCATTTGGCTGTTGCAACAATTCTCAGCTCGCCATTTTTCACTTCGACAGAAGAGATCGTTTCATCACTCGGGACCTTAACAGAAACGACTACTAAATTACTAACTTACTAATTTTCCTGACCGGCTGTTACCTTGGCGTGCGGCAGTTTCATTAAATTAAAGGCAGTACCGTCCCGTCCGCGGCTAGTAGTTTTTCGATTTAAAGTTCGGTAGTAAACATTATGTAGTTCGTTAGTAAACATTATGATGCTTGAGTCCAATGTGTGGGGTGAAAACAGCTTCCTCTTCATACACACGACGTGGATAGGCAATGATTTGCTCAAAATTCGCAAAATGAACAGCGCTGAACTTATTTTAAAAACTGCATATTTGTCCGCCATTGCTCTTGCCGCCATCTTGAAAACAAGATCTGCCAGACGTCTCGCCCGTTGTCTCCTTCCCGCCTTCCTTTGCGCGCACATTTTCATCAAAAGAGAGACGTCTGGGTACGAGGCAGGGAGCGATCATTAACTATTGGGGTTGGGGCTGGTAAATTTTGGGGGAGGGCTGCGATTTTTTGGTCTCCCATCAAGGGAGGGCTAAAATTTTCTGGGCTCCCATTTAGGGGAGGGTTGCAATTTCTGGGCGCCTTTGGGCGATGTGCGCGTACTATTAAATGGGTTTTGTGCTACTGAAATATTAATCACTGCTTGAAATACGATGGCCGGATACGCGCGTGGAAGTAGTATTAACAGAATTGCATACTCAAAGCTGAATCGCACGGTTAAAAAGCACTCTGACTGGCTGGCGATGAGCAGTGACTTCACGCCCAATCACTTCCAATCTGCTTGACTTTGAAATGGCTTTGAAAGCAGCACACGGTTTTAGTTTGGCTTTGTTGTTTAATCAGCGTCATCGTCACGTGATTTTCCTGTCTTATAATACATCTGAAAGGCAAATAATTTCATGAAAGCCCTGCTTAAAACGAGCCGCAGTCAAAAGCGCACGGATAGTTGATGATATGTTATTATAACGGAAAATGTATTTTTTCACGTTATGACTGGTACTCGATCTGTATTTGTTTTTTTAACTCACAGTGGTCCAGTTTATACGAATCCGTCTTTTGCAAAACTCAGTCGGTCTTAAACAGTAACAGGAACAGAACATTTTCTTTTTCAACAAATGCAACATAATTTTTTATATATACAGTAAGCAAATGTACAGTAAGGATGTAACAACTAGTCAATAGGCTGATAGTAAGGAGCGCATTTGAATGTGTTCCTGTAGGGGCCGGAGTCATCTGAACTGCCACTGTCGTATGCTTCCATGGCAGCAGTGCCCGAGTGAATACCAAAGGCGCTTCCTGATTCCTCCTCCTGACATTGTTCAGTGGCATCATCATCATCAGCATCATTATTTACCAATTAAGTTTTTCTTTTTGTTAGTTTTTTGTTTTTGTTAGTTCAATAACCACACAACAGTTCAATAACCACCGAACAGTTCAATAACCACACAAGTAGTTTGAAACCTGCGGAAAGATAGTTAAAACAAGGTTTCATCCACCGCTAACCGTTATGTTTTGTGCTTTATTAACGAGCGCTCTGTCGGTTTATCTAGTTTCGGTTTTTTTCTCTGGACCGAGTTAGTTTCCATTTTCAGCGCTTACTCTCTTTCCAGGTCTGTTCACTGTGCCCCTGATGAGAATGACAGACCTTCTGAGCAGACAAGAACTTCTTAATTAACATCAATCTATGTTCCTGTCTATATTAGTGAGCTCACTAAAACTTTATAACAATGTACCATAGCTATTTGTAAATTTAGTTCTTGTATCGTTGCTAAATGAGTATTTATCACTTAAAATAGACCTGACATTAGCCTACTAATAGTGTAGTGTAGTGTTTTTTACTGCATATTCTTCCAGTTTGTCCAGGGGCCTGTTTTTACTGTTCTTTCCATTCAATGCTTGTATCTTGATTATAATTTTGTAGTAAAAATTTCTAGGAAGGGGGTTGGGGGTTAGTAGTTATGCACAACGATTTATACTTATCTTAACGTTTTTTGCATTTCAAGGTAATTCTGTGCCCATTGATAATTATTAGATGATCTTGTATTCCTCTGCAACTCCAAAGCAGGTCAAAAACTACCGCTTCAGAAGACTTTTGAGGGGAATTTTATGCTACCACAGGTTTGCCAAGAAAGGAACCATGTATAAGCAATCACAGGAACAGTAATGTTGAATCTGGGTAGAATGAACCCAAGAACTTCATAATACTCAGTCTTTCCTACCACCAGTTTGCACTGGGACAATGCAATCATCATTCTCTAAAATGGCATTCATAGCATCTTGTTTGCCATGAAATTTGAAATATTCAAACACAATTATTTTTTTTAAAAAAGTGTCTAGGACAACGTCTCCTGTCTGGCCAAATGGTAGTTACAATGGTATCTCATCAACTACATCACCCTCTTCAATCAGGGTAACAAAATTGTCTATCAAATTGAAACCAAAGTTACCAATAATTTATTTATTAAGACACAAATGATGCATTATAAAAGAGCATGGCAAAACCCAATTGGTCTACTGTGTAATATCACAAAAACAAATAAAAAACAATACAGACAATAAGTATTTGCTGCACATTCGACACAGCTTCATCATAAAATGAGATAAATAAATAAAAAGTAAGTAGAATTTATTTACACCGGGCTGTGCATTCAGTGACAAGTCTAGTACCCAGTGAGGTAATCGAATAATAAAAAACTACAAGTAAAAAAACCTAGACCTAGTTTTGTGGCTGTTTTTCCTGTACATAAGCTTACATTTTCGAGCAAATGATACACAATGCGAAATCCTGAGACAAAAATTTAACAGATTTAAAAAATACTCAAGGACAAAAAAAAAAAAAAAAGAACAACAATCAAATCCCTTCTCAAGATTTGAAGCTGATTATTCGGAACGTATTATGTCGTTATCTCACGAAGGTGTCCCTGACCATGGTAGTGCACTTACTGCTGGATTATTTGTATGTCCTTTTGTACCTCGTTTTTTCCATCATATACATTTAACCAGAGTGTCTTTATTAAGGCAACGATTGCCTCAACAAGGCACCGGTGGTTCAGTGGTAGAATTCTCATTTACGAGGCGGGAGGCCCGGGTTCGATTCCCGCCAGTACGTCAGTTCTCTTTGATATTGTTGAAAAAATGTACGTGAATGGCACTTGTCAGAAAAATCTGAGCTACATAGGACCGGATAAAAAGGTGTTATTTTTGTAACACTACTTCCTAGATCTGACTGTAAGAAATAAAAGAAGAAAGGAAAAAAACAATGGCTTGTCAACATTATTTTGCGTTTTTCTGTGCGTTACTTCCTCGTTTTTCATATCTCATAAGCTGAAAAGCTTAAGGCAGACAAATGCTCGCTTTTAAGTGTTTATATAATTTATAGGATCAGTTTCGTATCGCTGATTTGATTGGGGATCACTTCTCATGAAAGGCAAGTTCAGTTGAAGGCTGTTGTGCGCTATGCTTATCTTTGCTTTTTTTTTTTTGGTTACCTTATACATGATATATCTTTGAGTCCAGTATAACGGGTGGTGCATACTTTCGTGATTTTCATCTCATTTGATTGAAAGTTTAGGAAGAACATGTGTACGAAATAACCTTCCACATTAAACCAAATGCAATGACGGAAAGGTTGAAAAGGAAAAACAACTTATGTAAGAAGGGACGTATGAAGATGTACGAGATTTGGTAATAAACTGTATTATCAATGAGAAAAAATAATTTCCCATTTTTTTTTAACTGCAACTTAAAGAATAACCAAGTATTCCTTACACGTCCTAGAACGATATAGAATTCAGAGAGAGAGTCTTTTTCATGCAAACATAATAAAGGCCTTTGACATTGACCGTTTTTATACTAAGGACGCATAATTTGTCTGGGCGAACTTGGGAAAACATTCTGTGGTTCATCTGGTTATGCGTCTCAAGTATAAAGACGAGCACAACACGCATTATGCGTCCAGACGAACTACCTTTCGTAGTGTGTCGTTCAACAAGCATTTCGAAGGAAAGTTCGTCCCGACGCATAGTGCGTCTCGTGCTCGTCTTTATACTTGAGACGCATAACCAGATGAACTACTAATGTTTGCCCAAGTTCGTCCAGACGGATGATACGTCCTTAGTATAAAAACGGCCATAGACGCATTATCCGTCTTGACAAATAATGCGTCCTCAAGTATAAAAACGGCCATTGTCGTTTGGCTGGCTAATACTCTTGAGTCGGCGAAGCTCACGTTAAATCAAATTGCCTCTGCACGCGTTATATGTTCAGTCTATATTTGTATACGGTTTTCTTAACACACACTCACACAATATTCAGTCCCCGCACGAAAAAAAACACTTGGAAAGCTAATCTTTTGGAAACCACGTAAAGGAAGGAGACGCCCTTATTAGGACTGGGACCTAGATACTTCTTCTATCATTATTCGGGACACTGAATTCCAACCAGTGTAAGCATTTCCCAAGGTGCTGCCACTACATTGTCCTACCCATAATTCCATTCTAACCGCTCCTTGTGAGATATTTTCACAGTACCCCTCAAATGACCGATGATGGAACAGATCAGGGTTCCCAGATGACCAGTCGTTGTAAACAGCGGCCTCAATCGTCATTGGTCCACTGCATTCGTTTCCATTGAACTTGAAATACCACCGATTACACTTAGCATTGCCATAAATCCTCATGTTACCCTGGAAGGAGACTTTGAGCGCTGTGTCCGATTTCAACTTGTTAAAAGCACAGTCCTACAAAAAAAACAAAAAACAAAAACAAAACAAAACGATTAAAATGTCCGCAACTCTAATAATGCTAAATAACACAAAAATTAATATATAAAATATCAGGAAGTCCACAGCAACAAACCAATGAGTGGTGCCGGATCTCCCAGTTGTAGACCTGGATCAGTACAACTGTGACGCAGTGAGAAAGGCTCGAGAAGCTCATTTAATACACAAAGGGAACACATTATTTCCTCTAGGAATAAATAGACGCGGCGAAGCTCACTGATATATGATACCACTTAGTCTCCTATACCAATAACAATCCACTGCTTTGATTGTCACATTTTCAAATTCTTATTTGTAAGGAACTTTAAGATTTATTTTCTTTTCTTTTTCTTTTAGCCCCTAAAGAAGGTTTGTTTTCAAACCGAAATATTGAGCAGTTTGTTTAAATATATATATTTTTGTATTATTCTTTTGTCTACTTCTTCATCGCCTTGCCCTAAGGATCAGTTTGATGTTTCAAATTTTTCTACAAAAATTAATGCCGGCCAGCTGGAGAAAGGTTGATTGGGGATGAAGGCTAAGACAATGAGGTTGAGGTCATAGCTGTACTTTCAAATTTACCTCAGAAGAATGGATTTTCGATCTCTTTCCACCTATGAACATTATCTGTGGTACTTATAAATAGTTCTTTTTAAGCTTTTAGTGCGTTTCTTGTTTACCTTAATCTTTCCGTTATCAGCACCGCTGGCTGATTTCCACACATATTGTTTCCAGTTGGTTTGTGGTACTACACTGGCTTGACTTGCTTTGGCGCTTTCTCCTTTCTCTCCTTTGTCTCCTTTTTTTCCTTGATTTCCCACAATGCCTGGCTCTCCTTTCATTCCCACAAGCCCCGATTCACCTTTCATTCCCATATTTCCTGGCGGTCCGCTCTTCCCGGGAGGCCCTTCGCGCCCTCTGTCTCCTCTTGGACCCTGCACTCCTTGCGATCCCTTATCACCAATTCGCCCTTTTTGACCTTCTCTTCCCTGGGGCCCCTGCGGCCCAGGCACGCCCGGCATTCCCGGCATGCCATTTGACCCCGGAATGCCTGGAAAACCATGACTCAGTATAGACTTCTGTAAGTAAAGATGTGTAATTAAAACGACGAGCCATGGCCTATTATAGCAGTGAACGGAGGAAATGTATTAAGAGATTAATTGCAGTCTGTCTCAGAGGCAAAGCCATAGTATAGGCGTACAGGACGGGGGGCCGGGAGGGCTGTAGTCTGCTACACAGCCGTTTTTAGTGTCGTCACGCAATGCTCCTCCTCACTAACGGCTGCTGAAAACCGAACTACATTCCTTTCCCTTTGTGTTTGTGGTCTAACGACCAAACCAATCACATGCAAGAAATTTGACAATACGTGTGCCGCAGGGCGTTAGGNCTTTCATTCCCACAAGCCCCGATTCACCTTTCATTCCCATATTTCCTGGCGGTCCGCTCTTCCCGGGAGGCCCTTCGCGCCCTCTGTCTCCTCTTGGACCCTGCACTCCTTGCGATCCCTTATCACCAATTCGCCCTTTTTGACCTTCTCTTCCCTGGGGCCCCTGCGGCCCAGGCACGCCCGGCATTCCCGGCATGCCATTTGACCCCGGAATGCCTGGAAAACCATGACTCAGTATAGACTTCTGTAAGTAAAGATGTGTAATTAAAACGACGAGCCATGGCCTATTATAGCAGTGAACGGAGGAAATGTATTAAGAGATTAATTGCAGTCTGTCTCAGAGGCAAAGCCATAGTATAGGCGTACAGGACGGGGGGCCGGGAGGGCTGTAGTCTGCTACACAGCCGTTTTTAGTGTCGTCACGCAATGCTCCTCCTCACTAACGGCTGCTGAAAACCGAACTACATTCCTTTCCCTTTGTGTTTGTGGTCTAACGACCAAACCAATCACATGCAAGAAATTTGACAATACGTGTGCCGCAGGGCGTTAGGAATCAAGCACGCTTCTCAGTTTTCGACAAATCAATCAATCGTCGCTGAATTTAGACGGGCTCTGTATTTTCAAGAAACGAAAAGGTAAATTTGCAAAAAAGTTTGTTTTAAGCGGTCAAGAAAGTTCCAAGTGAAAAAAAGGTTTGATAGGCCTAGAAGACTTTTACCAGGATCGGTTGGTTCTTCATTTAACGTGCATATGTGCTGATATATAATGAAGAATTTAATGTACCGGATGTGCTCATTGTGTTCCTGTGAAGACTAAACTCTCAAGGGTACTGATTCAAAAAAGCAATCTTATAAATTATCGATGAGCGATTTCTCGAAACTATACCTGGCAACTTTATGAGCATATCCATGTTGTGCATCGCCATTTGCTCGACTTGCTTGCTGTTGCTGCTTATCTCCTAAATTTTGAATAGGACTCGACTACGACAACACTGTAGTTAATTGCTTGTTTTCACGCGAGGATTTTGATTATTCTGTCATTCACACATGGGGCAACAATAAAAGCAAAGCTGTGATTGGAGGAGTCAAAGTACCGCAAAGGTGGCGTGAACACCTTCCACAAAATGGGAGCTGCATTATAATTATGAATTATAATTGGCTAATCACGGGAAAGGAATGTAGTTCGGTTTTCAGCAGCCGTTAGTGGGGAGGGGCGTGCGTGACGACACTAAAATCGGCTGTGTAGCAGACTAGGAGGGCTGCAGCCCCCCTAAATTTTTGGCAACTCAGATTTTTTGGGCAGAAAGAGAAATTTGAGCAAATTCGGTTTTTAAAGAAGTTTCAAATCTTTTTATTATATCGAAGAGATAGATGTTTTCTGTTTAAACCAGTACATTCACAAGAGACAGTAATTGGCTAGCACGTTATGACTTTCTGGTTGTTAGTGAAGGGTAGCATGTTGATTTACATCTTCGTAGTTTTTTAATTGTTGGGCACTGTGCTTCACTGCACTAGCTGGTGTGGGTTATTTATTTATTTTTATATTTGCCACATAGAATAAATATTACAGAAAGAATATGAAAAGATATATATATATATATATATATATATATATATATATATATTATTACTAAGATTGCACAATTTACAGAACAGGAAAAGCTAAAAAAAAAAAAGTTCACAATTAAATGTAATATTAAGAGACTTAACCGCTTTTTGCAATATATAGAGTGGCGAGGAAGCCCAATAGAAGCTAAAAAGCTTGTAGAAAATTGGGCTCCTCATACTTAATTATGATTTAATCTAAGCTGCCATATCATGGTCAGGCGAGTTTAATTTATAGCCCTCTCGATGAGGTACTTTTTTAATGAAGTCTTGAAACTAGAGTATCATGCCAGTTCCGTAAGATTATGGGGAAGGGAGTTCCATAGTTTAGGTCCTAGATGAAGGATTGTGAACTGTTTAATGTTTGTTCTACAGACATAAGGTCGGTAGTTATCAGTATTTCGAGTATTATATGTGTGTACTTGGCGATTAGTAACAAAAGTTGTGTTAAACGTATCAGGAAGGAGGTTATTGTGATATGAGTACATAAAACACGCAACAAAGAACGCATTAATTTTAAAAATGTCAAGGATTTTAAGAGGCCGGAAAAGAGGTGCAGTATGGGCAAGATATTCAGCTCCACAAATGATTCTGACGATGCGTTTCTGTGGGTATAGAATCCTATTCAAATTGGATGGATACGTTGAGCACCATGCAATGTTATAGTCAGGTTAAGATACGGGTAAACCAATGTATAGTATAAGGTTCACAAAGATTTAGAATGAAGAAAGAAACGTGCTTTACTTATGCATGATTCCTATCTAATTATTGTCTTTCAGACTTTTTAGTAACTTGATTTATATGATATTTCCAAGAAAGATGCTGATCTAATAAAACACCAAGAAACTTTGTCACGTCAACCTTTTGCACAGCAATGTTATCTAGCGTAATTGTATCACTAAAAGCAATGGGTTTTTGCCTGGGTCGAAAAAGAATATAGCTTGTTTTGGCGACATTGAGTGATAATTTGTTTCACTTTAAGCCATTCAGATATTTTTGATAATTCAGAATTCATGACACGAATGAGCTGGGTAGGACCTTTATGAGAATAAAAAAGGCTAGTATCATCCGCAAATAAAAAAGTCTTTAACAGATTAGATGCATTAGGGAGATCATTAATATAAATAATAAACAAAAGAGGTCCTAAAATTGATCCTTGGGGAATACCACACACAACTGGTTCCTGTTAAGAACATGCTGAAGTAAACTGAACAAGCTGCTTCCTGTTTGTCAAATAGCTAGATACCCAATTAATAGACTGCCCTCTAATACCATAGTGATCGAGCTTATTGCGCAAAGTATGGTGATCAATAGTGTCAAACGTTTTCGAAAAGTTCAAGAAAACTCCAGCAGGCGATTCTCTGTTATCGATGGCAGAAGCAATATTATTAACCAACTGAATCAATGCCATATACGTAGAATGATTTCTACGACATCCAAACGGATTGTTATAAAGAAGATTAGGATTTTTTAAGTATCTATAGATACGATTATAAACTACTTTTTCGTAAAATTTAGAAAAAGATGGAAGAATGGAAATGGGCCGATAATTTTCAAGCTTTTCTGGATCACCAGTTTTAAAAATAGGGAGAACTTTTGCGATTTTGAGGGTATCAGGAAAGCACCCACTTACTAAAGATAGGTTAATAATTTCAGTTAAGGGTTCAACAATGATGTCGATACTGAGTTTAATAATTGTCATTGGAATATTATCCACCCCAGAAGTTTTATAAAAGTTAAAACTATGTTCTATGGCTTTACGTTCATCAGCTGCGAGACGCTGAAATTCCAAAGGTGTTTGTGTGGTTTGGCTTAAGAAACCTCTGAAGATAGCAGTGGAGGGTGAGATCCCAGCTGCGAGACTGGGACCAATGTTAGAAAAATACTTGCTAAAGCTGGTAGCAATAGAAGTGAGATCTGACATAAGCTCACCACTACTTTTAAAACAAGAGGGGTAGGTTAGTTTAGACTTGCGTTTATTAAGTACCTCATTAATTATTTTCCATGTAGTTTTTATATCAGTTTTGGAGGCTACGAGGTTATGATCATATATATAAAATATAATATATATAAATCTATATATTTTTTCTCACAATCCGTATTAGGTTATTTTAGTTATTTTTAAAAGTTTTGTAAGTCTTTTCAACAGCGACACTTAGGTTCAAAGAAATTGTTTGTAACGTTTAGCTTTTGTCCTTATGGATTTCAAAAGGCTTTTACATGTAGTGAGCCAAGGGTTACGACATGATTTTGAACACGATACTTAAGTTGAATGGTTTTGGTAGAAATGTTTTTGTTATATAAATCACTGAATTTATTAGCAAAAGATTCAGAGGCTGAACTTTCATCTGATTTATCAAGATTCTCCCAATCAACACGTTCTAAGGAGGAACGAAAATTGTTTACAAGACAAGACAAGACAATGCTTTATTTGGAGTCTTATACAGTCCTATGTACATCGACTTTTTATCCAAATAATTTAAAATCATAACACACATTGCACACTCGTGAAACTACTAGTAATAGCTGACACTACAGCTGCCACCGTTCTGTATATTATCGGTCAACAGTGTTCTTGCTCGTTGTGTAGCTTTTTGAAATATACCGATTCATAATGAAGATTTTCACACATATTCCATACAATAGGTGAGATAAATACAGGAAACGCAAGGTTCCATGCACAGTTTCAGGTCGATTTACACAGCTTTGATCAAAACATTCTCAGTTTCGAGAATAGTTTATTCTAAACCATAAGAAAAGATTTAATTAGAAGTTGAATTTTTCGCTATTTCTCTTTCACTTTTTACATGCAGTTTATTTTATTTGCCGGAAAATAAGCCTTAGAAATTAAAAGGACGTTTGATCGATTCACACTCGGGCATTCTAGTCTTATTTGAAATTTTATAGCGGAAGGACATCTGTGAGCAGGGAATAAGTCAGCACATAATTTGATTGTCGGCGAATTTCTGTAATTGCAATCGTTCTGCTAGTGATAAGCTAGCCGTTGTTCACTCGTCTTGCTTTGTCTTATTCCGGTCAAAGAGAGAGAAAGAGTGTCTGGCAAGGTTTCCAATATAAAAAGATTTTCAAGGATTTGTGAACTCGTGTCTGGCAAACTCTCCAAGTGTTTATATATACACAGTTAAACGTACCTTATAACCTCATCTGCGCTTAACGAGTGTCTTTTGGTCCATAACTTTCAAACCAACCTGCTCCACAGAATGTCACTGCGTAACGCAAAAGAGTATCGAAGTATGTTTGACTGCACAATACATGTCACAAAATCTACCTGAACGGTCCCTGTCTTTACGTCATCCTAACCATTTCGTACTTGCGGGCACAAACAATAGAAACGTCATCATTACCTACCGATTCCTCGCGGCCCCTGTTCAAGCAAATCGAGATTTTTTCTATATTGACTGTATGACTGTATATTTCAACTGTAAGTACTTTCCTTAATATACGAGCGAGTTACTAGAGTGCTTCCTCGGGATTTCGCCTTCTGGGCGAAATCCCTGCGGGGGCAATAATCAATGTTAACCTAAAGAACTAATGATCTTCTTTTCTCATAGAAGTCGAATACATGTTCATCTTTGAAATCACGGAAAACAATGTTTTATTTTTTAGTGGAAGTGTCGTAATCAAAGTTTCCCCGGCTAATTGATAAATCATTTACAATCAGTCCATTGACAGATAGACAAGTAACGTTATTAGTGGAAATATAATCAATAAGAGAGGTTGTGTTAGATGTTATACGGGAGGGCTTTGTGATCATGGGGTAAAGTAGGTGAGAAAACATAAGCTCCAGAAATTCTCCTGTAATTGCATGTAACTCATGCCGTGAAAGATCTAAATTAAAATCGCCCATGACATAACAGATCTTATTCTCTCTAGAAGTAGTGGACAACAATTTTCGCAATGAATCCAAAAAGTTATTTACATTTTCATCGTGCGGTCGACAAATAGTGCCAACTATGACAGTGTCGGAGCGAAGAACGTTTCGACAGCGTATGGCATATAACATCAGCCGGGGTCTGAAAAAGAAGAAGTTTGAATTACGAGAAGCCAGGGCACTCAGACGAACGCCATCGCGCCGCCTTCAAGCCCTTGTAGGTGAACACGCAAAACACAAACGCAGCTGACACCGGAATCTCACCACCGCATAGCCTGCTTCACACACGTGATTTAACCCCGGTTAGTAAAGCCTTTTCTGCCCACATCCACCCCCCACCAACGGAGTGAACGAATTACCGGAAGTGCGTCTCAAATTTCCTTTCATCTTCATTGGTAAATCGACAATGGCTTTTTTAAAAGGCCAATCATGGCGCCTACTCAACAAGGATATCAGTGCTGTTTCACAGACGGACTTAACCAGAGTATAGTTTCGTTTGTGGCGCAGGCTAAACATATTTACATTTACTATGCGTTCATCGACAAGGCGCTGTCCAGCCTTCAGCTCAGGTTTAGCGGAAATGATCGGTAAATACTCTGTGCTTTGGGAAACATCTCTAGTAGTGAAACACCTGACAACGAAATCTTCTCCCGCGTTGCTAAATTTTACAAAATCGACGGCGAGATTCTCCAGGCTGAGCAAAAAATGTACTCGAGTTTTCGTCGTGTGCGCGGATTAGGCTACATGACTGTTCCAGAAATGCTGGGGACAATGCACGAGAATGATCTATTTGATATGTTTCCAGTGCTTTCTAATGCGGTACATAACCTTAGAGTGATGCCTGATACATTTTGTTCTGCAGAACGATCATTCACTGCGTTGCGTAGATTGAAAACGTATCTCCGCAGCACCATGGGCAACAACGTGTCAGTAACATCGCACTTATTAACACTGAAAGGGCATATGCCGACTCTCATGACATGGATCATATCATTGCTATTTTCGGCAGTCAAAATGGCAAAGACATCGTTTTATGATGTGTTTTATTAGCTCATATGATAGATTCATGTGTAAGAATACTTTGGATTGCCCGTACGCCTACGGGCAAAGCGAGAATGAAAGCGTCCATTTTCAGTTAGTAGTAAAGAACAGCAGGAAGTTTTAATCAAAATTCGTGAAAACCTATTTAATCCATAAATAGCCTAGCAGGAATTTTATATCAAGGATTATTTTAGTAATGCTACGTATATTGATAAAAACGTTTTGACGAACTCCCAGCTATCCCCCTATGCAAAACAAAATAAAGAAAGAAGAAAAGAAAATAATAACAGTAATCAAGATGATGATGATGATGATGATGATGATCGCGGCATCGAACATCGTCGTCACGACATAGTATTTTTAGATAAAAAGCAAGGATGGTGTCATATAATTGTTATAATAGTCCCTGGGGTAGGGGTGAAAGCAGGGAGACACCTGTCAGGGAGTTACCAAAAGGGTTAAAATGTAAAAAGGAAAAGTCGGGAAAGCGCAAGGATTTAAGAACGAAAGTTGCTCGGCTGAGGAATGTAAATGCTTCAGAATCACGCAATAGTTGGAGCTTTGGTTATGGTGACAAATACAAATTCTTCAGACTAGGATAATAATAATAAAATAATAATAATAATGAAAATGATAATGATGATGATGATATAATAACAACCAAATAATAATGATAACAATTATAATAATAATGAAAATCTGATAACCATAATAATATCAGCAATGATATTAATAATAATAACGATAAGTTAATGATAAATTTTTAAAACCAAAAAATCTTAAAAGCTCTAAAAGAGAAATTCCCTTTTAAAACAAAGCTAAGTCTCCTCGCATTTCATTTTGCTGCTTGCCTTCATAGACAACTATGTCTAAAACTGGGTAGATCAGAAAAATCCGTGAGACCAACTTTTGGGGCCAATTTTGAAACACAGACTTAACCACAGAAAAGTCGAAGCTGGCATTCTATTGTGCAAATTTAAACTCCGTTGTGGAACTTTTTGATGCGATTTTCTTTTCCACCCACAGCCCAAGACCCAAAACTATCAGCTAAAACAGAATAATTGTTTCATACCTCGCATAAATCTTTTAACTTTGCGGTGTTTTGTTGCTGAGGTGAGGTGGTTGTTCTCAGTGAAACGCCAGAAAAAGAGAAAACCAAGAAAACAGCGAAATACTGAACCATCATTAGAGCTCCACCAGATAACTGGATTACTGAAATCAGTGCTACGTGCTCATCGGTTAAATAACAAAAATTTGTTTTGTTCCTGTTTTAATGTTGTGGTTACCTCTTTATTTTATTTCCTTTTATGGTAGAAATATTTGTTTGTTTTTCCTTCTCGAACAAGCTCCCCTTTTAAAGTGAGTCGTTATACGTGCTGGTATAGTTTCAGTTTTTATATATTTATCTGTATTATATTTAATTCACCATATCATTTACCTGATATCTTTTACCCACCATATCATTTACATGTGCACGTTTTTACTCCATCTCCTTATACGTTGGCACGCTTGAGAACTTGGACATCGTACTGAAACAAATGCATAATTTTAACCAATTGAAGTATCTTTGTTACGTACACAATATTTGTTGCCTCATTTTTCTTCAGTTGATGATGCCCTGTTTTCTTTTCTAGTTGTAACCCGCAAAAAAATAAAAATAAAAAAAATAATAAAAATATTATTAAGGTTGCAACCTCTTGAAAGCACCCACTTCTACGTGGTTGGTGCTTATTATTAAATTAGTATGTGTAATCAAATGGTGACGAGTGAAATTAGGGAATAATTTCACGCGCGTTTTGTCCAAATCCTTATCATTTCCCGAGCCTTCCCTAATTTCACGAGTATACCATTTGATTACCTATTAATATATCATAGGTGACGAATTATGTCAGCAATCTTGGATTTTTGACATGTTTATCCTGGATCGTATCGATCAAGAACTCCACTCTCTCGAACGTTTAGCGCTTAAATTTGGCTTAAGTTCAGAATTT